ACTCACTTGTTGGAAATATTCAACCCAACGGTATGGACGCTGTCTTTTATCAAAAAGTAGATTTCCAACGTTATCTCTGATATCCCCACTAGCAGACCGTGTCCTAAGTCCTGTTTGCCAAATAAACTGGGACAGTTTCCGTGCGTTCCTTGCCATACAGTTCTCCATCTAAGCTTTTTGAATCCACCAGGTCTCTCTATCGACACGGCCTTCTTTTGGGTTGATATCTTGCAGACCATTTGGTCGGACTGTAACGCTGTCCCTAAGGAATATGTCTTATCAAGGACCGACAACTTTCTGAGACCTCAGTGGTCAGCACAAGCGCGCTCGCAAACACGCATAATTTCCGGCGCCATGTACAGTGATTGTTGTTCCTTCGCAGCTACGATTCATATCTTCTGAGTTAGCTGCTTCCAAAGCATCACCTTGGTCTGTGGTATGTTTGTTTAGTGCCTTGGTCAAAAAGTTTGACCGATAAATTCAGTACATCTCTACGTCGAATTCGAACGTTGTTCGTGCAGAATGATCAACAGTCGGGCAGTGAACCCTGTGACCGTTAGCTGACGCCTACGTGACGGATTTTGCTGCACGGTTGTTCAGCGGTAGAAGGACAACGTAGCGCAGCGGCGTCCACTGTGCCTAAACCCAGCACTTCTAAGAAACAACATGGTCATTTCAGATTTGTAATAGGTGTTTACCATTATCATCAAGCATTGGGCCTAGGCTAAACTTGCCACCTGGTCGCACCTCGCATGAACGAAGACACTATACTTTCACGTAGAAGTTTTCTGCAATTAGAATTATACCTGAATTCTTTGTGGCAAGTAAGAGGGTACTTATTTTCCGGTGAAGTATCTGTCATGTAATCGACGCCGAGGTTGAATGGTGCTTAATCAGTAACTATAAACAAGGTCCTGGTTTTCGCCTCGTTCCTTGACTTACTTGTTACTCGCAACTTTTGAGAACACTGCCGCATATGGAGTCAATGAAGACGTCACTTGCTAACCAAGAACAGAATATTCGGGGTTGTGGTTCGCCTATATCGAAATTTGTATAAGCTCTGGTTGTAGTACAGAAGTTTTAGTGCAGGAGTCTCCAGCGCTTTGTTCGCGTTCTAAAATTAGAGGTGACTATGGTGACAAAGCTATATATTTCTGAATCTTGGGAGGCGCATAAACCAGGCCACATTACGGTTTTGTTCGTCGTGTGATTTTAGGGCGTGGGCGTTGCAAGCAGCGGAAATAAGGCATCTTCGGTTTATCGGCAACCGTTTTGTAAGAGCCATAGCTCCTACAAGTGGGCACCGACAGATCTTCATGGAGGCGATCAGTAAACGTGTGTTTGGTTGCGCAACACGAAATTCAGTTGTGCTATATGTTTGGAAGCTAGAATGTCGAACCATATGCCGAAAAGAGTAGTTTTCCATGTCCTCTTCAGAGTATTTAAAAAAAATAAATTTTTCAGCTGTAGCACCATTTTGGTGCCTAGCTACCATGCCACACGAAGGAAGCATGAGGGTTGGAGTACTGCCAGGTTATTCAATACTAAACAGGGAATATCGAGATGCAGAGTCCGGGTTCGAACCACGAATCTTCTGGTCAGTCAATCCGGGCTTTAACCACAGCCATCCCACCACCTTCTTCAGAGTGGGGAAGCAAAACGCCTCTAACTCGATCTGTTATAGGGATGTGAAAAAAGAAATTACGAAAAGGGCTGTCGGTGGCTCACCTGTGATAGGGTCCACGTGATCTTCCCTCTACGATAGGCGTTCGAAGCTATGGCTGCTCATCAATGTCAACTTTGTTCCTTGCAGTTTCCATCTGGATTATCTGAATAAATACCTGCAGACGTAAATAGCCAGGTATATATTCAGCAGGATAGCCTTAGTTGCCTTTCTATTTTGAATTTTTCCCCTCGACAATGAAGCATAGGTATTGAATACTGATGTGCTGTGAATGATGGTGGTGGTAATAACAGTGTCATTTCGCAATGGCAACTAATGTAAGCTGGTCATGAAATAAGTGGTATTCACCTTTGCCTACATCAGGTGCATGATTGGTATCATCATAAAACCCTAAAAATAGAACACTGGTTTCCTAAAGAGTGGACGATTCTCAACGGTCATCATCGATGGGGGCACCAGACAGGAACATCGGTGCCTTACTGCCTTGCAGCCGTGTCAGTTTGTTTTCTGACGAGACTCTAAAAAGGGAAGCAAAAAAATGAAACACAGAGGGAACAAAAAGCTGGCTATCATTCAATGCATAGCTCCTTTTGCAACCCCCCACTTGACAGCCCACTGACAGTGCTGGATTTATGCACCAATTTATCAGCTCCCGCCTGCAATGCACAGCTACCTACTCCCCCTCCCAAATCATCGGTGAACGAAACTGTGGCAGCTACAACTACTGTGCGACAAGCACGTGGTTTTTACAGCTGACAATGATGATGATGATGATGATGATGATGATGATGGTGATGATGGCCTGAAGGTCCGTTGTTCGATCCTGAACTCTTCCTCTCGACTCCCCCTGTCCAAGGCAACCTGGCAGTATCCCAGCCCTCGTGTTTCCTTCGGGTGGCCTAGCAGTTAGACAGCGAAGGGTTGCTGCAGGTGAGAGAATGTACAACAATATGGCTAGCACTAGTTGGATACATGCATTTTGGAACTTTTGTATGTCTTTGTTGTAATAGGTGGCGTAAATTGGCAAACACACTTTGGGCCTTTGTGTTTTGTGAGTTGACTTCGTCCGTCTCACTACAGTAAGAGAAAACACAACTCCCTTGATGTGTAGTGTTGCCTAAATCATAGTGTCAAAGGCGGTACGTCCTGCAGCATGAACTTGTGTTTTGTGGGGTCGAAGCATACCAAAGGATTAGAGGACCTTTTCTGGTAACGCCTACGTTTCTTCTTCAAAAAATGAGGATGATATCGATTGCGTAATCCTAGTCGAGGAGCGTCGCTCTTGAGGAAATCTAAAAATCAGCATTCCAGGGACCCACCATAATCCGCCGCAGTAACTTATCAGTGACCAATGTTGTCGGACAACACTGCTTGGCGAGAAGCTTCTGGCGGGCTTTCCATACATACGTCTGCACAGCTATGTGGATATGACAGACACATGATGTGTACGAACTTCTGAGGCACGCCCTTTACACGATTCAACAGATTCGAACAAACCCTTGATGTTAAGGAACACCAAGACCCTGGGGCGTTTATTCACGTTCCGTTATCCTAACACCTGGAGGGGTGTGAAAATGTGGTCAAAGCAACCTCTTTACGGTTTGAGTCCTGCTTGCTCTTCTAGGGTCATGCTTCCACATGCTGTTGTGTGATGACGTAAAGTAAGTGACACAAAGAGTCTAGGTTCAAGGTTAAGATAATTCATCTGTGATTACTACACTCACTATGAGCATCTTTGAAAACGGGCACCACTATCGGCTCACCCCAGTTAGCTTGGAAAGCATCTTGCTTCTAGATATAGGTAAGTAACTTAGACAGCCACTGACCGAGGCTTTCACATCCAGCCTTAAACGGAGCGGATGAGAGCTCGTTATGTACAGTTACTCAGTGAATCTTGCGGCAGAAAAGGTATTTGCCGTCACGGATCGACTGGACGTTATCGCGGTAAGGCGGTTTATGCTCCTTTGAAACCCACTGAACTATACTGGGGAGTGTGTGTAACACCCCCGAGCCTATCATACCAGGTCGATCAATGGTAGAGATCTGAATAGCACACTGTCCTGGTCCTCTAGGTTTGGGGTGGGAACTTGTGTGATGACTTGTTCCTTAAATGTTGGGTGGTCAGAATTAGCAATGTTAAGGCACGCCAGATGGCCTTTGGAAGAAGGAACTCTTCCGCTATAGGTTACGCTTCTTTGCAGAGCTCTTTATGCCCTACTTCGTGCTGAGTGGAACCGACTGCGAGACGGACGGTTATGACCTGGCGAAAAAGTATGAAAACACTAACCAGTAAACTTAGTCGGACCGACAACTACTGCCTCCCCGGATGGGAACCCCAGGACTCAACTCACCAATGAGTCTTGACATTGGCAGAAATGACCCAATCACACAGTCACTCGCGCTCATGCATCAATGCTATCGCCTTCAATGTGCAGCTACCCAGCCGAACAAACTGAACATGTCATCGCCTCTAAGGCTCGGCTGTATGTCCCACATTCTCCCGTTTTCCGGTGATCGAAACTGTAGTAGATGGAACAAATATGCCTATGGTACATGGTTTATAGCTTATAAATCGAATTGACACCCCATTTCGAGTACTAGGGCCAAAAGTCTGATCCTTCAGATATAGGCTGTTTAAGTTGATGCTTGCCACTGAAAAATCTCGATCCACCGAAGCAGAGGGTCGTGTAGCCTGAGGGCTACTTGGGTAGTTACTTTGGTTGCAGGTTTAGCACCCAGTTGGTGCGACCGTATTGTGCATCGCCTATCGCGAATGACCTATGGGGAGAAGATTGATGGACGATGTTTCGTCCTGAAGTTTCGTGAAGATATAGGACGGGTACTACCATTTTCTTTCGAATTCCGTTTATGTTGCATCTACTGCATTTCTACTCCTGGCACGACCTAAAAACCAGCATAAACGGGCGATTTATCTTTGCACACCCTGCAAACATCTGAAAAAGTTAAGACCGTACCTGACTTTACCGTAGCGTGTGTATGACTTTAGCCTTGTGCACTAAATCCTTGAGGCCACAAACGACATGAGATCCCTCTACTTGAGATTCATGTATGATATGCACCTTTCACTTCCTGTACAGCTTGTACAACCTCGCAAATTAGCCCGCAACTTTTAGCACTCAGAATCGCACGGACTGTATTTAGAGAGACCGAGAACTTGCTTTTTTTGTCAACCACCGTCAACTTTAGGTTGTTGGCCAGGAAGTGTTTCACCTTGTGCACTGATCATTTGGCCTACCTACGGCCCTTTTGCGTATTTGCTCTTTGTCCGCTGGGTGGAAGTAATCCGACTTTTCATAAACGAATGTCATTGTACCAAACAGTTCAGCTACTATTTATGGCTATTTCCTATCGCATTTCCACCGCATTTTTGGAAGCAAACTGTTTCACGATGAATATCTTTTACATACCACGTACGTATTGTGTTTTCAGCATTTTGTCTGTTCTTTATCTTTTGCGTAGTGGAGCACACATCTGAACTTGTGTTAACTTCCCCGTGTCTCCTTAATGTCTTACGGAAAGATCAGTCGTCTCCTAATTGCAAACAGAGGAGAGATTGCATGCAGAATAGCCAAATCTGCCAAACTGTTCGGATGTCATACAGTTGGTGTGTACAGTGACGCAGATGTATCTGCACTTCACGTCAAACTCGTAAGTTTGACCTATTCAAGTGTGCATGCTATAACATCTTAAATGTTTTCTTTAAACCTGCGAAATTACCATCGCTTCGCACATTCATTGTCATTTAACCGATTGATGGTGCTTCTACCAACCACCACGTAGTGCTCCACCCTGATTATTTCGAGCAGGTTAATATGTTCCTTTATGTCGTAATGGACTGGGCGCAATCTGTGTCACAACTGGTCACACCCGTCGCCAGTTGACTGCGTATTCGCTTCGTTTGCCTTCCATGCATTATACGATTGTTCGAGTTATTTCGGTGTGTTCCATATCTTGTAGATGTTATTATGTAGGAATTAGCCGCAAGAGTCGTGTATATGAAGAACTCTGAAATACGTCAACTTCATTTTCATATTAGCCGGGGCAGTCCCGGTCACCTTATTGAAGCTGGTTATCGGGTCTAACGACACAACGTGGCTTGTTACTGATTTTCTTTCGATTGTGTAGCAGTGTCGAATGCGAAAGTTTTTAGGTTAGCTCCGAAAATGGCAACTTTCTTAATATAAAGACATACCTGTCTATACAGCCAATAGACATCCAAGTATTCCTCGGCGGTCAAAATGTAGCAAGACTACTTGTCGCATTCCCCCGCTGACTTGGCCGCCTGAAGCACCGATCGAGATTAGTCTCTTCTGGGAATCGGTCTCCCTCTGAAGCAACGTCTACATTAATGGTAGTCTCATGGTGGGAATGGCTTGAACGGCTGATGTTTAGACTCAGCCAGACTGGTGGTACTTTGGTCATCTTGGATCGAGGGAATATGGCAACTGAACCAGATGCTTTGTTAGTGATAGCCAGTCTTAGTCCTGAATGCTCGATGTGGCCGACATTCAGTGGGCATTAGCTACAGTTGCGTACCTCTTTGATCAGTTTTTACCGAGCACTCAATCAATTTCTCTCATTTCTCTTTTCTTTATATACTAGGTTGATGAAGCGTACAATGTCGGCCCAGCGCCAGTTCAACAAAGTTATCTGAATATCCCACGCCTTATCTCAGTGGCTAAGCGGGCCGGAGCGGACGCCATACATCCTGGTTACGGATTTCTTTCAGAGAGTGTGGAGTTCGCCCAAGCCTGTCAAGATGCTAATCTTGTGTTTGTTGGCCCTCCAGTTTCTGCCATACGTGACATGGGAATAAAGAATAAAAGCAAGGCTATCATGGCTGCTGCTGGTGTTCCGATCATCAAAGGTTTGTGGATATGCAGTCACCTTTGATTACCAAGTCATTAGAAACGAATGGATATCGCTAATCGGATTCGTTGGTTATCCCTTCGGGAGGCGAAATTGCTTACCAGAAACTCCCTTATGAAGAAAAATTTTTCTTTTCTAGGAGTCACCTTTTGTCGTTTATTGTCATGTCATGTTAGCGTTGCTGATCACCTGTTCTCTGCACGTTTCCTGCTAGATGTACACCTTTAATCGGACATCGGATGGCTCTGGGGACACAGCCCATAACAGATCCCCGTGGTAGCGTCTTTCACATGTCTGACTGTCAGGTAGAAGGCCTTATGGTTGCTGATATCACCAAGAAATAAATCGAAATCTGTGCTAAGCAGATTCAGTCATAGTGGGGTTAATTTGACCCCTTAACCGAATTCATGAAGTCCTGGTCGCCCGCTAGTTTTATTGCCAATGGTGCGGTGCCCCTACACGCGACTCTTCCATAATGGCTTGCTCCAATACCGCCAAATCTTTGGTCATCCGCATGACCTTCAATGCCGCAAGCAATGTCGGTGTTTTGATGGCTTATACCTCACACTCACAAGACCAATATGCGGCCACTGGATTTATGAATAATTGTTTAAGTTAACATGAACTGCTAGCGAGTTTCTACCCAAAGTAGCATACTCTCCACAATGGCTGGGAGATTGATTAAGAAGGCAAGGCAGTTTCAGCCCTGACAAATAAAACGTCTCTTTTGATATGATTTCGGGGTTCAGTGTAACAGTAAAATCTGGGAATCGAGTGGTTGATGGTCACCATATTTCAAGGATCATTTTTGCTGGATATTTTTCGCAGTTATGAGCTGTATTCGGCAGATTGTTAGATACGAAGTGTTTATAAATGTTTGAGCATCGCTACTTCGCAATGTGGAACTGAATAAGTTCATTTTCCCGGAAATGCTTCTTTGAGGTCTATTAAAAAAAACTTCCAACTGAGACATCTCTCTCCGAGCTCGAGGTGTCTTTGTGGTTAAGAAGCAGACTTGTTGATCACTAGGTTCGTCTTTCGAACCTTACTCCGTCACCTCGTGTTTTTCTCCTGGATTGGGCGTCCTGACGGTATCTTGCTTCGTGCTTCTTTTGGGTGGTGCGGCAGCCAGACATCGAGGTGTCACAGCTGAACGATTATATTATTAGTTTTATTTACGAGACATCTCTGCTGTGAACGTGTCTTCCGGCCGAGAAAAACACTAGGACAGATACCATTGTAGTGTTCAAACATATACAGACACATGAGAGAAGCCAGGGGTAGATTAGAATAACGAACTTCCCGTTTGGTGGCTGTTTTCGTAACCTCCAGGCTATCTTTGTTTCAATTTTAGGGTTTTTCGTGATAGGTATTTTGTTCATAGTCGCACCACTCTCGTTTGAACGGTCCTGCTCCTGTTCTGGCGTAGTTATTGCGGTGAGTCCACACCAAAGGGAAGCACTGGATTCGAGTTTCGCTCTTATTAGAGCTCATCAGCAGTGCATATCCAATGGCCGTGCCGGGATTTGAACCCCGGACATCTGCCATGTGGACTCACCGGAATAATTACACCAGAACAGGAGCACGACCGTTCAAACAAGAGTGGTGTGACTATGAACAAAATATCTATCCCACAAAGCCCCAAAATTGCAAGCAAAAAGTTGCCCAGTGGGTTTCAAGCGTGTGTCACGCTACCTGACTGGGAAGTCCTGACTGGCGGGGCAGTCGATCGTCACAACCAGGACAGTTACTGGGTCGTCGTTCGATGAGTCGGCCACACCAATCACGCCGCTCAAAAGTGAACACGTTCTCCTGTTCAGACGTGAAAATTAAGATGCGTCCAACATGCGTTGCTGGAGTAGTGGTTACACGCTCGCCTCGCATGTCAGGTGAGTGTGGTGTGACTATGAACAAAATATCTCTGTTTCGTTGGACTAGTGCATGTGTCGTAATCGAGTCCCTCCTACCAGAAATGCCAACTCATTTGAAAATGTTTGTGGTTCCTGCCAACAACATACTCCGAAATTTCTTCTATATTTTGGTATTATCCTGGTCGTCACGTCTTCTACGGCCTTCAGAGAGATGTACGGTGATAATCCGAATTTCTCGTTTCTGTCGCAAAACTTACTGACTTTATACTTTCAGTCTCAGTCACGTATTGCCTTTCCGTTGAAGACCTCTTGCGGGTTCCTGATATTTTACTAGTTTATGGTTTCTTGCAACCTTTTCACTTGCACTGAGTCTTTTGCATTATTCCGTTTCCATCTGTTATTCGGTACTGTTGTCCTGCATCATCTTTACAGGCTGTCAGCTCTACTCGCTCCCAATCCTTCACTCACCTAACCACCATTTCCCCCACCGCATCAGGTTACCATGGTGAGGATCAGTCTGATACCCGACTTCGAGCGGAAGCTGAGGCAATCGGCTTCCCGGTTATGATCAAGGCAGTCCGAGGCGGTGGTGGCAAGGGAATGCGTATTGCACATACGCCCGAGCAGTTTTCGGAACAGCTTTCCGCTGCTCGTCACGAAGCCTTGAAATCATTCAACGATGATGGCATGCTAATTGAACAGTATATTGTCAATCCTAGGCACGTTGAGGTAAGTTGCCTTGAACAACATTAAATGAGCAACATTAAATGCGGGGTCAATGGAATGCCATCATATTATCCATTACCATCTTGGTGTGTTAATGGACCGCTCTTATTCATGCAACTAACATCGGTTCCAAGGACTTAAGCGCGGCGCTACTGGCTGTTCACAGACTGTCTGTGGATTTCCGCTGTGCGCAGACATCCGGTCGTTTGACCACAGTTGACCGGCTAACTCGATTCGCATGCTAGTCGTCCAAATTATCAGTCGCGGAATGTCTCCTCGTTGGAACTCTTCGACGGACAAGATACCGTATAAACATTCGTAATTTGTAGACATTACCTATGGATAAACCGATATGCCGTGCTAAGTTACGCCTCACTGCCACCGACTGGTGTGCGATGTGCACGTGAATCACTTACACAGCACTTCCTGAGAGAGTCTCTCACGGGAAAGAGCTCATATGGCCTACCTTGGGCGTGGCCACTGCCTTTCACACCAGGAAGTGCTTTTGAAGACGTCTCAAGAAGGAATCCCTTCTTGGGAGCCATCAGTCTTGAGGGCGTTCTTAGCTTACCACCTTAGGTACTTTTCATCTCGTTTGGCCTTTGACAAGTGTGTGGTAGTTAGGTAGTGCTCAATCGAACGTATATTGTTGTTCCCCTGTTCTACACTCCTTTCTCCCACCTTGTAGGTGCAAATTTTCGGAGACAGGCACGGTAACTACGTTTATTTATGGGAGCGTGACTGTAGCATCCAGCGTCGGCATCAGAAAATCTTGGAGGAAGCGCCTGCTCCCGGCTTATCTCCGAAGGTTCGAAAGGCGATTGGTGAAGCGGCTGTGGCTGCTGCCCGGGCCGTCCACTATGTCGGTGCCGGTACCGTGGAGTTTGTCATGGACGCCGACCAGAATTTCTACTTTATGGAAATGAACACTCGTCTGCAAGTGAGTAATGCGATTTTTTCAGAGATTTAATTTCTCTATCGTCGTCAAGAGCGACTGGCAGCCGAATTCATTCCCACTTGTGATAATTTTACATCTAATTCTTGTTACTTATCCAAGTAAGTAGGCACATGCTTCGCTGAAAATTTGTCTATCGACACCCAAATCTATCGCGTTGACAGACACGAGCATGTTCAATTTGTCTTTGATAGAATGCGGTGTCTTTCTTTTTTATCTTTTGCATATAAAACTTCCTCCTTCATATGACACTACTCATCAGATCGACGAAAACGGTGGGCAGCCTACTACAAGTTACTCCTTTCTTGGGACCCATCAAGCAAACCTAGTCCTTGAATTTACATATTTCTCAGTTGAGTACTTCCTGTTCTTGGTGAGCTCCTGAGTTGCTTTTCCGGATTGATAATTTCATCCCCTAGAATTCGAGCAAGGCATTCCATCCCGCTTTCTAAACTGGTTCCTAAATGCGGATAACGTTTTGCATGTTACTGTTCGCCTCATTCGGTAACCAACGCCTCAGAGATTGTGCTAGCTACTCGCCTACAGTTTAATCCGAATTTCGGTCTTCCAGAAACAGTTTCGTATTCAGACAGAAGGTGAAGATTCGGGACTGTTTTTACAAGAACTTCTACGTACACATTTGGTCCACCTGCCCATTGCCCATTTCCCCTAATAGTGATCGTTCCGTTCTTCGAGTGCATCTTTTATTTTGATCCGATGCTCCTGTCTATAGTATATGTTGGACATCGAAGCCTGCTGAAATTGTGATCGCCGAAAATGACCCTATTTTCTACTCGGCGCGACTTAAATATTTTCATATGAAATTTGTGATCACTTTCTCAGTTTTTACATTGACGGAGTTACGCGGGTTGATCATACCCTAAACGGATATGACTCTTTTAGAAGTGAGTAAAAAGAACAACTTAGTTGTGGTAACATATCATTTCGCATACTGTTTACAGCGGCAAACTTGTATAGCAAACTTGTATGACAAAAGATGACGGAGATTATGTGAAACATCAAAAGCACCTTTCTCCTAGCAACTCGGTCAATGAAGCCAGGACAATCAGGGGAAGATTTGTCAATGCAGTTGAGCTGATATATATCCAGTTTTACGAATGTGCCTTGCCACTTTAGTACCGATAGAATTATCTCCTTTGACTTTCCTTCGGCTGTCTGCTGCGGGAGGATGAGTCGACTTCTTGAATGTCTCAGCCGCCGGTTGGTGTGAGTGCTCTTCCGGATGTCGATCCATTTTCATGGGCCGTAGGCAGCCTGTAGATCCAGACGCTCATTGTCGGCAGTAAAAGTGTCTAATCAGGTCTTCAGCTGAAGACAAAACCATGCTTGAGCTATGTCAATGCACCGATGACTGAACTCTTCATCTGACAAACGATGCTAAAAATATACTTTGAGAGTGTTTCTCAAACGCCAATGGTCATATTTCAACTGTAATGCGTGTCGCTAATCAGGTCCTCCAAAGGAGTCGATAATTAGTAGAGTTCAACCACTTGACCATTGACAAGTAGTCAGGCTACGTAACGTAACAGTTGTTGCGAGAGGGACACTGTTATTCCGAATTTTCCATTTTAACAGCTGTTGTTGTATGTACGGATATGTCGTCCTCAGTTCGACTGTGTGCAGCGGTTTGATCCTTCTATACCTACCCAACGAGGCCGGGTTGTTACGAATGTCTTCAGGCGTCTGTTCTTATCAGACTGCCTGTTTTCTTTTAATTTCTGGAGATAATTACTCGCTCACATAGGTCATATAGCCCCATGCCATATAAACTATGCACTTCATGACTTAACGGTGATGTATGGAAGCCTTTACAAGCAATCTCAGTCGTGTTGACGATAGCCGTTTCTCGGGCCTTAGATCCTGGACAAAGCACACCAATGGTCAGTTTTCATGACAGACATGACACATTCAACTAATGGCGATCCTGCATCAAAACTGTCGTTTTCATTGCGTAGCTTTATCAGACAGATGGAATACTGAAGTCAATGAACTGATGAGGCCATCATTGTGAATACATGTCTCTCTTCGTTCTCCCGACCTTCGTGGATGAAAACTGTGACAACCGAAACCGTCCAACTTGGAACGCAGTTCATTGCTGAGAAACGGAAGCGAGCTTTCGAATTTTAATTCCAGGGGCATCAACATAATCACCCATGTATAAGGGTTTTTCTGATAAATTGATTGCCACAAACCCATTTGCGAATTACATCATATCGGTTATCCCAAATTACCAAACCATTCGTTTGATTTCTCCGGTCTTCCCTGCGCCTTAACCGTTCGTGCATTGTTGTCCGTGTTTCCAAGCAAAATAATGGTTGTTGTCAGTCCCATTAATTGGAGCGGTGTGAATGCCGCGTTTTTCTACGAACATCCTATGGGAAGATATAGGAATCACGGGACTGTTAGAAAGAAGATCTGATTTAATGAGTGCACTAGTTCGTTTCTGGGGTACTGAAGCAGATCTTATTCCACTTGAAATTGGAGCAATCAAATGACACCGAGTCAGCATGGTATCAACAGTCCCAATTCACTCACAACCCGTTTTGGGTGAGATGCGTTCCTGCAGTCTTCTTCACCCCATCCGGTGTACGACGAATGTTCATCTGTTTGGGCGACCTCCCAGCACTTAATTGTAGCGGTTTGTTCACCCGGTTTTCTAGCTAGTGATACAGGCTACTTATCCTGCCGTGACGTTCTCTTCTCTTGGTCTTGAGTGCATAACTCAGTGCAGTTTCTCAAGCTTCTCGGTTCATTACCCTTCAAGTCTGGTAAGGTGTCGTCGTCGCCATTTAATTTTCCGTGCAGTACATTAACATCGTAGGGTCCTAGGACCGATTCATCCGGTGCGATGCCACCCTGAAGTGTACATGATATCATTCCGTGACTGGCAGTATTGGGTCTGCGTTTCATCCGAAAACAGGCTGCGTTCCCGGATTGCTTTGCAAAAAATAATGATAATTGTGATGGGTGAGTGTGCTGATTGGATACCACTTCGTAAGCTTCGGGCTGACCTTTCAGAAGAAAGACAAAGGTTTCCATGTTAGAAATTTCTAGAATCTGTTTCGGCATTTAGAAGAAAGCATGTTGACTGCTCTGCAGTTTTTCTGCTAAATACATTATTGGACGTCCGGTAAGTAGAATATTGTTTTATTCCGTGATTCGTGGTAGGGAAATCTCATTTATTTATTTAGACAGTTCGTCTGCAGTACGTTCGTTTCAACGTGGATGTTGGCTGGGTCGTTTTTGATTGTGACATGCTGTCAGTCAATCACAAACTTGGTCAGCTGTCGGTTGCTAGTTCTCATATTAGTATGCTTCCTGAAATCACGGAGGTTTTGTCGATTCAGCCGATGTCACATCAGACAGCGGGATGTTAGCCATCCGGATTTTTCTGCATGACAGCTCGAATTGAAATTTCGATAAACATGTCAACCATGCCAATTGGTCACAAATATCCGGGACGGAAAATCATTCTGTATTATCCTTCATCTTCCCACTTTTCCCGGCTTCGCTTCATCGTTCTTGAGCCTCCCGTCGTCTCATGTTATCATATAGGTGGCGAGTTCGGATAGGATCACCCGCACTGTGTATTTTGAATGGTTTGATTCTTTGCATATCGCTCTTGAGGAAGACTACGGATGTTTCTGGATTACTTTTTCGGTCACAGCTCAACCCAATCACTGTTTTTATCTGGAAGTTGTTGTGTTCTTTCAGCTACCTTCCTATCTTCCATTCCTTTGGTGACACTTGTCTCCTAAACGGTTGAGACTGTGATGCTGGTTGTACAGATTTCGACGTCTTTGAATCGACACACATTTTTATTTTTTAGGTCGAACACCCAGTGACTGAGGCCATCACGCGTACCGACCTGGTTGACTGGCAGCTCAGGGTGGCAAGTGGAGATAAACTCCCGATCGTGGATCAGACGGAAGTCCCCTTGGTCGGACATGCGTTCGAAGCTCGAATTTACGCTGAAGACTGTTCCGATCCTTCTCAGATGCTTCCCGCCGCGGGACGTTTGCAGTTTCTCTCCCCTCCACCGAATGCTGTGACCTACACGCATGTAGGTGGACTCATTCGTGTGGATAGTGGGGTAGTGTCCGGGGACGTAATATCCGTGTACTATGATCCGATGATTGCGAAACTGGTCGCTTGGGGCGAGACAAGAGAGGATGCCTTGTCTCGACTACAGTCAGCTCTGGCTGAATACCGTGTCGCCGGTCTTCCCACGAATATTAGTTTTCTACGAAGGCTGATCCAACATCCCCAAGTCCTATCCGGTCAGGTGAGTTGAACTTCTTGTATTCAGTTTATTCGGCCAAGACGAAAAATTATCCGCAGCATGATTTTCGGATGTTCTGAATGCTAGATCGAGTGCCTAGCGAATTTTGTGAAGGGCTAGGTGTTTCAGACGGATTCTTTGTTTGTATGCGATAGTCGCAGCCGAGATTTTTTAAAACCATAGTTTCACCCTGCAATCCTTCCCTCTAATTCGAACAATCAACAATTCTAGCCTTACAGAGGATTCTGTTGATACCCTGTTTCACGCACGATTGCTCTAGACAATATGGACATAGAGCACGTCCATTATACTACTTACTTCACTGCTGATGCCCATAAGCGGACGGGTCGGCTCCACTAAATATCCATTTTATACTTCCATTGGAGGATATCGTAGACGGACTTCAGAATAGCATATCCAGCGTCTGATTTGACCGCGCCGGACACCCGCGAAGAAATTGTATGGACACCTGATAGACTTTCACAGTTCCGTTGCCGTTTGAGTCACTATGTTCATCGCTTGCGCACTTTAAGTCATTGTTATTCTACATGGCTGTGATAAATATTCCCACATCCTCAGTCATAGGTTTGCACTACTGATTATTTAATTTTCACATTGTTCATTCACAATTGCAACAGGAGTGGAAGGCTAATGGTTTTGAAATCATGGTAGTCTACTAGCTGTACCCGTGCATTCATGGAAAGAGTCAATAATGCAGTCGGTCTCGAAGAGAGTTCTGCCTCGTGGTAAATCAACATTCATGCGAACGCCCACATTCTTTGGAGAAACCTTTGGTCTGCCTTCATTAAGCCCACTCAACTGAAGTGTGGAAAAGGCCGTGGATTCCGACTGTCGAATTTATTATGCGCCACTGGATTTCCAACTAGTCAGTTCATTCTCCTTGACTCTCTGTACTTAGCACCATTGACGCCCTCGTTTTGCCTCCCAAGAGGGATCCTTCCCTAAAAGGACCACACGTTGAGGGGTACTTAATTATGCTCACATTTGTGGATGATTTAATGTGTGACTCATTTGAAAAGCGGCCAACTTACATTAATTGCTTATTAACCGTTTTTTGGGGTTATCATGAACAAAAATAATGTTAATGGTCACTCAGAAGAGTTCGTAGATTTTGGAATTGATGGGGTTAGAATCTATCTCGAGATTACTGAACCGCAAACTTTTTTCCGCCAATCGCGATGTTGGAAACGTGGTAGGTGAAGGTTTTTCCCACACTCCAGTACTGCGTTCCTACACTTCTGCAATCATAAGTCTTAGTATGGCTTTTGGAACATGACTCTTATTCTAAAGCCTTTCTTAAAATGATAACGCATTCTAAAGATAACACCAAAGTGGTCTGTTGTTTTTGACCGGCTTTAACCCAAAGGAACGATGCAATCCTATAGATTTTATCAAGGCCTACCTGGGTCGAACAAGCTGGACAGTGAGATCGACACAACAAACACATTAGTTACCGTGGAAGAGAGGCCTGGCTACGTATACTAAAATGATTACTGTCAAATGGGTACATTTTGACAAGTAAATAACTCTGTTAGCAGTGGACAAGTGGCCTCAGTCTGTCTGCACACAATTAAAAGTTACTTTCCGCAGGTCCATTGCAGCAGGCTAATATTAATGTAGTGTCTCGCATGCTAACCCACTGCCGGCATTGCAACACCAGTCGGTACTTTGGTTAATGGGACAACGGCGCTAAACGTTCAAAAATACCGAAGGTTGTTAACGTATCTATCACCCGTCGCTGTTCCCCGCGCACCTCTACAATCTCCCATAATTTCCAGGTCCGTTTCCCCTTCATTAAGAAGAACTGCTGTAACCCACAAGCCAATCGACGAACCTTTTCAAACTGACAGCGACGTACCTGGCATATATCCCCGTGTTTCTTTACGTATCACTGGCATTCTTTCATGTTGTTGTCTCTCAGTGTAACCGAAAGTGTCCACTAGTATGTTTTCGAAACTCTCAGCCGGTATTCACTTACGCTCACGTATCGTTTTGTAAATTTAGGAGCAAAATTTAGGTCTCAAGGCAGGGCACATTTTCGAGCACACTTTTGTGGTTGTTTTTCATTTATTTGGCTCAAGTAGCCATAAACCAACTAAAGTACGGACACTATTGCTTGATCAATAAACAATGAGGGAGGCTAAGTCTGTAAGATTCGAGCTCCTGAAAGCAATCCGTAGATGAGACGTGGAGATGTAGCCGATTGTCCAAATTATTGTCGCGAAGCCATCTGTGCGGCGCGTTCAAGGCGGCTGGTGTCGTATCTATCCTCCACCGAAGTTTAGGGGGTCATCTGGTTTTATGTGATCATATCTTTTTCCATTTTAGGTCCATACCGGATTTATCATGGAACATATAGATACACTACGCAGTACATCTTTAACCAAAGGATACGGTTCCAGGGAGCCCTTTCCTACTGCTCACTGTGCTGCAGCGATTTGGGCATGTGCTGAACACATCTTCACTGAATCCAGTAGACAACATTTGACAGACCCACTGCAACCGATGTTATCCCAAATACCCTATTTCCGTCTGAATCTACCTGCTACCAGAGAAGTTACGTTTACTGACTCAACAGATACCAACACATCACGCTTTCGTGTAACGCACCTCAGGAACCCATCGGAATGTTACCGGGTCGAAATGTTATCGGGTCCTTCGGATACATCTTATTCAGTCGATGTTCGACTCATCCGCAATTCGAATGAGGCACACAGCCACCGAGGACTTGTTGACCATTCATTTGCCGTTGAGGTTTCTTCATCCAGCCCATCGGACCAACAACGGCGTTTGTGTCAAATCAGCGTTGTGTACGATCCAGAATCTAGGCATCTTCACACATTCAACAATTCAACCGGTACACACGACAGTTTCAGTCTTGAGCAGCCGGCCTATTTGAATGCCATGTCTGGTCATTCTGATGGGCTAGACGGAGCTGACCTTTTGTCCAACACCTCCCCAATGCCAGGTGTGATAGAACGCATCTTTGTGAAACCGGGAGATAGAGTAGAATCTGGACAAGCGTTACTCACCTTGATCGCGATGAAGATGGAGTATACTGTGCGTGCTAAAACCATTGGATTAGTCGATTCGTTGGCAGTTGCTATTGGTGATACGGTATCGAGTGGTCAACTATTGGTGCGACTAACACCCGAAACAACAGAATAGTTTTTTTATTGAATTTTTCCATGGTCACAAAAATTCAGGACTGTCAGTATATTATGGTACCAACTCTACGTCTCATGGCATACTATATTTAAAATGGCTTATACGCCTTATCTTTCTTTGATTTGCTTTTCTATATATTTTTTCTAATTTACTTACCCGTTTTGCACCACCAAGCATCAATAAAGGGGTTATGAATTTTTGAGCTTTGGATGACAACTTTCAGGTGCATTTCGCTTTCCATGTCAGCTTGTCTCCCGAACATATGTCCAGTGTTCTTTTCACGCATGGGTTAGCGAAGGACCTGCATCAATGGTGGCTAATGCAGGATATTAAGTCTGCATTGGTTCAGGAAGTGAATGCAGTTAAACAAATCAAGTTTGCTACTGGATAGCAATCATCATCATCATCACCATCTGCAGTGTTCGCTCCTGTACAACCATGATTTATTTGGTAATGTGTTGAAATATTGGTAGCTCGGGTGAGTTTATTGGTTGTTGATCAGGTGGCTGTTGATTTGTTCGCCGAATTTGAAGAAGAGAAAAATGAAAATGGACGGGGAAGGGACTTAGCGTTAGCCTGTCAAAATCACTTCGAGGTGCTTGCACCTCCGGGTACTCAGTTAGGCAATCTGGATAGAAACTGACAACAAGAACGCCATATCTTGCAGCGTCTCCAATCAGGCTCAGTGGGAAACACGCGGTCCTCATCCTGGAAGACGTGTCACACGAACAGCACTCAGACTTTTCGTAACCTCTTTCACACCCCTCTGCCAGGTCAAGGGTTGGCCACCTCTCTGCTTCCACCATTCTGAGTTGGGCATGGAAAACAGATTTTGGGGAGCTCTTCTGATGCTCTCACACGCCTGAAAGTCCGGGAGTATAAAGAATTTATTGTGTTCAAAGACCGGGGCATTCCTTGCTGGCCAAGGGTGTCAAGGAGGACAAACCAGTCAACTGAGTCGAATGCGCCTTGGAAATTCAGGAATACTAAAATTGTGGGTCGTTTGTACGTACGATGTTCTAACACCCAATGGAGTGTGACTATCTGGTCAACGCAACTTCTACCAGGTCGGAACCCCGCTTACTGTTCTCGAGTAATAAAAATAAATAATAATCGTTCAGCTGTAGCGCCCTTCCGGTGCTTAGCTGCCATGCCACCCGAAGGAAGCACGAGGGCTGGGATACTGTCAGGTTGCCCAGGCCTAGACGGGGGCAGTCGAGAGGCAGATGTTGTGTTCAAACCACGGACCTTCCGGTCAGTAAATTCGCGCTCTGACCACTTGAGCCATCTCGCCCCCACCACACTCACTACGAGCTTTTTTTGAAAATGAGCGCTTTCATTGACTCTCCCTAGTCTGAGACAATCTCTCTCCCAAATGCAAACCAGCATATTAGACAGTTAGTATTGGAGGTCGATTGTACTCACAGGTGTGTTGCACTCAGTATCGTGTGTATTGCAGTGAGATTTTCTTGGTCAGTTCTCTTCTCAATAATCCTGGGTCGGATTCCTGGCTAACCAATAGGTTAAGTTGAACCCCGTGTGGCAGCACCAAATGAAATTTGTTGTGGATAATAATCTGCAAAAGTTTTAGTCCTTGACAAAGATCCTCTATTTTGCATTCGAATTTTTGCACCTGCGGCAACAAAACAATGTTTAGCGATGACCAAATGTTCGATCTGGACGGTCTGGGTTTCCTATTCGCATTTTATGGGAACAAGGGAGGAACGCACAGTAAGCGAATTTATAACGGAGGATTATTTTTAGGTTGTTTGGTTGTCTTAATTTTGTTCGCATTTACACATTAGCCAAGAACTGAGTTTTCGAAAAGTTGGCATTAGCACATTCACTGTGGGCTCATATTGAGCAAGCATTTTATTCAACAAAGTTTACAGCTATAGTTTTCCGAGTCAGAGTTTGCCTGAGTTGAGATGTCTAAGCGACCGAGTGTGCCGGATGTCTTGGAGTCCGATTTGCCTCTAATGGACGACAGACTAAGTTTCCGTGAATTGTGCATGGCTGGCATGCGTGTCTGTCAATGGTGTTCTGACCACTGGACTTCTGCGCTTATATTTGCTAACAAGCGGTCTGCCGGACCATATGTGTTAGTGTTTGTGAGCCCATGAATCCACGAACGCTCGAAGGAATGGGATCGACGGTTGTGATGACGATGCTATGAGTACCAGCGTTGAGCTAATTAATGAGTCTCTGATATTACCTGACGATTCCTTTGAGTTTTAGCAAAATACCGCACATACGAGCTGTCGCGAGCTGTTTTCATCCAAACGTTGTGCGACTACGACTAGTCTTGCACTTAATTATCACTAAAAAAGCTCACTTGGTGCGTTAGCTGACTGCACAGAAATGACAGCGTAGTCCCTGATTTCACTGGCTCAGTAATCCTTCAAGAATCCGCTCCTTCACTTAGTTTAGCCTTCTTGCAACCTCTAGGCTGATGTTGACAATATTTCAGCCCGTCCTACTACGTTAAAACTTTAGTAATGTGACAAACCACTGAGAGGCCATTTGCAAGTGAGTGAGATACATCTTCTGGGTGCTCACCAGTGCCTTGTTTGCCAAAATCATCCACCTCTAACAACTGGCAATCATCGCCTGGGTTATCCTTTGACACCCGTGCGTGATATTCGATTAGAAATCCTGAAGGGTTATCCTTCTGTCATGGTAGGATATTCGCAAAATGATGCTGTCAGAGTGATTCAAGTCCAACAAATCATGCTCCTCAGCGCTTCACCAAACTGTTTGCGTATACTCTGAGCATAGTGTGGCGGAGAGTCATGTATACGTAACCAAACACAAGCTGTAAATCAACTTGAGATTGTAGCAGGTGCTTGCATGATAATGCTATAATAAATAGAAATTAGACGTTAGTAGCCCATTTGCCACTCGTGTTACCTTCAAAGTGGCCGAGTATTTTAGCGCAAACCGTAACCTTAGCCGTTTGTTAAGTGCAGTGTGGTGAGTTGAGTTGCGTGCGGCCTAATAACAACTTTCTGTAGAATATATCATTCAGATGGAAAGCTACCTCGTCGCTGGAAACACCTTATCGGCTCAAAAATAGTCATAAAGTTTCAGAGAGGTTTGGTAAACAATCGGTGGATTTATTACTGGGCAGCGTTCCGGTTTTGACAATAGCTTCGTCGAGTAAGTACGTAAAGTAAGTTAATTAGATTTTAAGATAGTCAGGGAACCGATCCGTGAGATTTCTTATGACTAACCTACTTGATCAATGTTGGGTGTTCAGTCTGATGTTCCTGTTTGTTGGTTAGTGGGGATAACTAACATTTACGACAGATTGATTAGGAGGGAGGATTTGTCATGTTGAAGCCGGATTTTTCGTCCTTGCTTTTTCAGTCTAGGACACTTTAATGGAAAATTCCTCTTGGGGTCGTTCACAGATTTCGTTCACCTGTGTTCGTCAAAAGGTGCCGGGACGATTGGTTAAGGGATGGGGTGGGGGTGGTTAGTTGAATCTAACTGTACTCAAATTTTGTACTCTTAGATCCAGACCATTTCGCTGATAACTGCACACTGCCTCGTGTCATCTCGGCTGATCTAAGACAGCTCTTTACACGCTTGTAAGTTCTACCCTCTCTATTCTATTTACACCGTGATGCTTGGCGATTTCCACCGCCTCGACCACCAGTCGCTTTGGTGCGAATCTTAAACCTCGTCTCAGGATGTCCACATTTCGTAAATCTGTCCTATGCCCAGTGTCTAGTACGTGCCCTGCCATTGCCGAATCTTTGACTCACGCCCGATATTCACCCAGCACTGATCAAGTCGGCTAGCCTCAAGAAATCTCACGGATTGGTTCCCTGACTGCCTTAAAACCCAATCAGCCTACTTAATTACTTGGCCTGACGAAGCTTTTATGTCAAGCTAAACGTAGCCCAACAATAAATCCACCGATTTTTTTTACCAGACCTCTCTCAATCGGTTCCAAACATTTTCCAATTGATCGAAAACCATAAAGTTTGTTGCTTTTCCAACCCTCCCCTAGCTGCATCTATTAAACGTTCAGTCTACTTTCTTTTCGGAATTGGTGCCCTTTTATGAACTGAACAAAGTTCTGTTATGAATCTCCATTCAATCCTTGATAAGATTCATATACAGAAAAGTCTTCACTGAATGTGCCTATCGGTTCTCCTGATGTCATCCATGCAGGCAGCAGATCGGTATTTCGCAACCAGTTTCCGGACGCACCTACCCATGATGGAGCGTACGTCAGCAGCAGTCGCATTTACGTTGCGACTGCGCTCTGTAAATCGCCATTATCTGCACTGATCGGTCCAAATGGATCAGCTTACTCCGGACAGTCGACAGCGGGACAGGAGATTATTCCGGTTCCAGGGTCGTGTGAATTTAGCGACACCCGGAATGATTGATCTGTATCTCGCCTGCTTTGTAGCTAGTGCACTGGCATAGGGCTTCGACTATCGTCAGGCTTCACGCCAGCATGCAACTGTCATGCAATCCAGCGGACACTTTATACCGCTCAAATCCAGTCTAATAGGCCTATCCAAAATGGGCTTGCTGCAGTGAGCTGACCTCGATTACGAACTCACGAGAAGGCGCGCATGACACCGCGTTCCATTGAAAATGGTTGTCTTTGGGCAATCTGTTCGGGTTTTTCAAAGGCGCGTGCAGTGAAACATATGGGATGCGTGCGGTGTCCATCTTATGCAAGAAAGATTGACGGTATGTCAACTGCTACTGAATTACTTCCGTTACGAAGAGACTGGACTTTACCGTGGTGTGACGGTTTGTGTGCCTCCGTGACTCATTGAGCTATAGTGGGAGCTGTCCGTGCGATACTCGCAAAATCTCTTATATCAGGTTGGTTAGTGGTAAGAGGTCCGACCAATGCAGTTTCTTGGTCCCCCAGACTGGGGGTTGAAACTCGCCTGGCAACTTGTTCTTTAAAGGTGGCGATGCACTGATATCTCAAACCTAACATGACTGCCTTTCGGTGAGGTTTTGAGCCATACGTTTGATTGAGGGTCCTATTCGTCCTGTCTAGGCTTGGGCGCCCTGACATTATCCCAGCCTACATGAAACCACGAAACTTCACGGTAGCGAAGCATCTTTATTGAAAACTGATGTTATACTATCGGTTATGATGATGATAATAATGATGACGATGATGGCGATGACTGAACCAATTCTTTCGTTTTTTGTGTGCAAACCCGAAGGCAATCATAACTCTTGAAGCAATGGTCTGTGGTGGTAAAACGCATGAAACGGAGAACAAGTTAAGCGTTTTCAGACGTGCTCTACTGTTTTTTTTCATTCTTTTTCTGTAACCACCCAATTTTTATCAAACGTTCTTTCCCCCTTGACCTGGTAGTAAATCTGAAGTTTAAACGGTGGTTTGGATACTTTGTTTGGCTCGTTTTTCTCTCTCTGTCAGCGCACAAGATAATACGAGGGAACAGGTCCAACTGTCGGACGGCTGTCCTAAATCTTGGTCATTCTGCCTGTTTGAATGCAAGTGGGGTTGGCAATGGCAACAACTTGACGAAAATTCATTGGGCTGTTCGAGTTCAACGTGCGTGACCATATAATTGAAAAAACGAACCCTCAGCCTGTCTGTGGGTCGGTTATCGACGATAAGACTTAGGTTGGGAAACTAGTCACTACTGCTGACGCAAATGCTAGGAGCGATCTGTGTGTTGTTTATCCTTTTTGCATGACATTGTAAATAAGAAATGACAATTACCACAGATGACAGAGATTTAACTCTTTCCAGTACTTTTTGTCGCTCAATTCTCAAGCCGTATCACGTAATCAGTGAGTTCGTCTTTCCATTATGATGGCACCCCATGTCATTCGGGTGTTCTGTCTCTCTCAGTATGAACCAGTGCCCTGTCAGGGAAAGTACCTGTGATACGATGGCCTGGTGCTGCGTGTCCATATCATCTGGTGCATACTTTTCAGTTCAGTTTGTAAACATTAAACTGTCTTTCACAGTATGATCGTTACTTTCAGAATTCGGCTATTCATATTAGAAGATAACCTCCCTTGGTGATGATTGAAGAGATGTGACGAGAGTCTACCGTCGGTCACAGCCTAGTCAATAATCTCCCAAGAAGAGAGGCCTTTCCCAATATCCCCATTGTGACTTTTTCCGGTATGAGTTACTCAATGTGCTGTTGAAAAGGCTTGGCTTCATGCGATCGCCAGTGGAAAAACAAGAGCAAATCACTGTTGTCTAATGTTGATCTTCCATATGGCACAGTGGTTGCTGATTCCCAGTTTGAGTGACCGACTATGGTTCTGAGTTTTTACCATCCCCGTTTGAGAGAGCAGCTAGCACGAAAGAAAGATTTTGGACGATCTGGTGGGAGCCTGTGTAAGGGGCATTCACCGTCTCTTCAGTTTGACTGTATTGACAAGAGACTTTCAAGTTATCATGGTAAAATTCTCCAGCTGTAAAAGGATCAACGGCTCTATCAGATTTGGTAAATCAGTTAGCTTTGTGTCATTCCCATCTGCCCCATCGAAGACCAACTATTTGTTCATCAAGTTATTCATCACTTTCTGCATCACGTTTTTGTACATCATTTCGTTCGTTCAAACAGTTGAATAGGAAAGGACAAGGACGGGACGTTGGACAATTCGAAGGACAACAAACCGAAATTCTGAGCACAGAAAAAATAACATAGGCGAATTCAATACAATAACGAAGCGAACGATGATCATTGCATATGGGACGTTCAAAAAGTGGATGGGTGAAAATTCAGGGAAACCACTATTTTTGTCGCACGTCGTGGATGACGAGTTTGTTGTGTTTTGTAAAATTTCACGTAAATGTCGGGAAAACATAACAAAATAAAAGGAAGAGTAAAATGAAAATTTCCCTCAATCACAGATACCTGGTGTGCTTGATTGGTTCTCATTCTGGGTACGGCTTGAGAGCTGAAACCATGCCTCAATACGTCTGTAGGGGGGTCGGAATACGGCCAGCCACAATTCGCGTCGCTCCGCTTTTGCGTCTGCACCCAAAGTCAGTCCACCAATGAAATCGTTGCTTGGACCACGGTCAAAATCCCATACAGTGATTTCCAATGTCTTGTGAGCAGCATCACTAGGATGCATGTCGTAGAAGAATTGCTGATGGAAGCGAGGAAAAAGATGTTTTTATTTCAACGGTTAGTCGACTATTTTGTTTGGTCTGCCCTCACCATGACCTCGTGTAAAATGGATTTTTAGTTGAGTGAGGAGGTGGAGTTTGGCACCGCCGTTGTTTCGTTGTACGAAAAGCTACTGCGTGAATGCATGTCTGCGAGGTTTACTGAAGGATGATTTAGAATGTCTTGTAAGATGGTGTGACGGTGGAAGAAATGAATTTCCATTAACCATCACCCTACAGACCGAAAAGTACGAAAGTGCCTTAGCATACTGAGCGATTCGATGCGCCCAGCTGACGAGGATGCTAGCGGTGATTCAACAATCAAAATCATGTAAACTAAGTCATGGCTTAAGAACGTAGGACGGGTGCTTTCTAGGCCTGGCTTATCAGTAATGCTATCCCCGTTCCATCCAAAGCTAACATCATTTGGTTGAACGGCCAGGCTGTTCCTATCTGTATCAGCCAAGCTAGGCTTAATGCCCCGGATCGTCCATAGCTTTATGCCTACAACGGTGATAGTGTTCAGTTTATTTGAGCGTCGTTGTATAGATCAAGTTGAATAAGGACTGTGTTTAAGGCGCGTGTCGTATGTGGGGTGTTCAACCCTTTGAACACGTTGTAAGTACCAACACGTTGGTTGTGTCGGCCAACGTGCACTGAGGTTGTCGTCAGTGGTTCCTCAAGAAAGGGTCCGGTTTGGTTGCCTGGCCGACTACCACTTTTGATTACTGATGCAAATCTAGTTCCTATACGTTGTATTGTTTTGTTTTGACTTGTGATTAAGTTTATCCTATGGTATTCTATTTGCACGCATCTTGTGTATCCGTCAACAAAGACGTGAACTAATACTCTGTGCTTTCCGGAGTGTGGACGTGCCAGAGGCGACTCTTTGTGATTGTGTGTCTGCGATGCCTCTCCCGAAAGTGCAGGCCACTAGATCGCCATTTGTATGCGTGGTAATGTTCATTTGTTCTGCTGTACTCGTTTGAACTGACCAGTAAGAGACATTAGTTGCATATACTGATCGCCGCTCATGTTCACAATCCAGGCATGCTTCCTTGGATTTACATCGGATACGGGACGTTCAGTTGGTTGCAAATGCGGATCAGGATAAACTCCAAACGACATTGCTAATCTTCAGAAGGTATCCGCCAGCATAGTTGGATGTGAAAAACTAATCCACAGAATGCTACCAGCTCACTAACATGTTCCTCCGAGAATTCATACGCAGCTATCTAAAATAGCTGGTTTTTATTGATAAAAGTGTTCTTTATTTGGGATGAGCTGTCCTTCGAGCATCCTAAGGTGTGAAGCCACAATATTGATTCGCCAACTTCGGAGTTTTCTAGAATCATTAGAAGAACACCTGTATATTTCGGTTACGCCTGCATGCGTGGTGGACTTAAACAGTTCTCTTGATAGAAGAACCGCCGAGCTCTCCGTGGTCCGGAGACTAGTTTATATGCCGTCAAAATGGTTTCACGAATCTTTGAGCTGGATATGGAGTTTTTGCATGATGGATGTGCGGGACGAAAATTGAGGTGAAGCTGGCCGAAATTACATGAAAAATGTGTTATTTTCTCCAGCAACCAGTAAGTCAACGTTTATGTCACAGGGAACGGTGAAGATAGATGCACTAAGATGAACGAAGGTTTAGGCTCACTCAAGGGTAATTTGGCATTTTTCAACCTGAGTGAACGTTTCCGAAGGCGAAAGATGAGCAAAAGGGATTTTAAACAGCGGAAGATTTCGGAGCTGTAGTCTGGGCATCCTCAGTCACCGAAGAGAAAATAGCCAATATTTTCCAGCTTTTTGACAATGCATTGTGCCAGTCACATTATGTAACAGAATTCTCTTACTGCAGATGGTATCCTTAGTACAGATTTGGCTGGTACAATACAACGTGACATAGAAAGTTTATATTATCATCTCTATTTTGATGATTTTAGAGTCCTTATTCGGAAAGCGAATCTTCAAATTTCGCAAAAAACTCAAAATTTTGAGTGGCAGAAGACTTTTCAAGTGGCGCTAAGATGGAAGGTAAATTTGTCCAAGTTTACAGTTCATTAAACAAATCAAATGAGTTCATGCGCTCTGAACAACTTGAAATCCTTGAGTGAAGTGTGCAGCTCACTGATTTCCAAGGTATTTTAAACACTTTGCATGTACCCTACTGTCATCAAAGCCCAAAGTTAGTTAAACAAAAACCACAAAATCACTAGAAGAAACTTACCTCATGGAACTCTGGGAACAAAGTAGCTTTCTTGATCTGCGTTTTTTGTTTCGTTTTCTTTGCTTTATCCGGACGAAGGTATCTGAGGCATGTGAAAAAGCGGGGTCGAATAGCAACGTTAAATGATGCTATCCGTGTTTCTGGTGTCTGATAACAGCGATGTTTTATTTCTCTTTCCCGTCGCAACAATCGCATTCCTATTTTATTGTATTAATCTCATTTAATTTAGCCAGGTGGCACAGTGAAAGTCTGTTGGTCAAGACATGGCACGCTCTCCATCGCAGATATCTATACACATTTCTTCCGTATTTTTCTGATGACAGTTCCGTGTGAAAGAACCAGATTGCATTTACGTTTGCTTCCTAACTAAGGTTACTGATTGGATAATGTCGTAGGGAGGGTTTTTAGCGTAAAACTAGTTTAGATCTTGTCGTTAACATATATACATACATAATTCTTTATTGCTGGCAAAATTTACTCAGATGGCTGCCAGTGTTACTGATCCCATTGGTCACATTGGATCATTTTATCTAGGAGATGACATGAGGTGGCTTGTGTTGTTTCAACTGACACACTGCTGCTCTCCGCGAGTCTGCAGATGAGCCATGTATTGTTAGGACGATTATTACCACTATTATTGCCAATAATTATTGTTACTCTTGTGATCTCTCATTTGTGTGTGACCACATCATGATTTCCAGTAGAACCGATGAACTCAACTTTAGTTTTAGCTTTGAAGAACATGATGCATAATGTTTGTTCAACACAGTTATAGCATACATTCGTTTAACTGACGAAGTTGAGATCAATCCAATTGGCTTTTCGGCAGAGTGAAAGCAGTGTGGTTATTCCTACCGAAGACTTGGTCCCTCTACGGATAGATGTTGTAAGTGGCAACGTTACGTTTCGATCAGGTGCGATCACAAAGTAACTTCATATGGACGGCCATTGAATTGAATTCGTTGAAAAAATATACACATAAGTTTGCCATCATCAGAACTACAATATATACTAAATGCTGGTTGGAAAATTCATCCTCCCTTTCTAGAGGCGACCGTTGGAGAATAACTGACTTTTGTCTTATACCATACAAGAGTTTGGCTGTCACATTCTGTGGTTGTTTGTGAGCGCTCAGTTGCTAATCCGCAAAAAGTGTGCACAGTTGTCAGCCAGAAATCAAGTAACAACTGCCTTGATACTATCTCAGTTACTTGTATGTACGTTTGTATTACGCTGATCTGAATGTCGAACTGTGGATAGATGAGGTGCAAAACAGGGTAGCAGTAGGGAACTAGAAGGCCTGTGAATCAACCTCTCGGTGGATGGCTTTGCATGTTGTACCACAGCGATTTTCCAGTGAGGAGCATTCCACTTTATAGTTTCAGTGGGAGCTGCATGTACGAGGTTTCGCCTTCAATCTTCTGTGTTTGTTATGAGTGGAGCACGGGATCGTCACTTAACGCGTCTTACAGCGAAAACGTGAGTGAGTGTAAATTATATTCTCCTTTCTAGATGAAGTTTTGTGGTCAAACAACGTCAATGGTGTGTGACGACCATGGGGGCACGCGAGACTGTTCTGAGTAAGGGCCTCTGTCACTTCGAATGAATTACGGCAGCCGTTGAATGCAGCACACTTTGGCAATAATTTCGACTTATTTGCACACGACCTTTAGTGAAAGAGCTCATTAAATAAGTTGTTACAATGCAATGATGTGACGTCTGAATAGATGACTGATTTTAATGATTAGTTTTATTAGGTCAAAAGATATTTTCGATTGCCGGCCGACTTATTAGCGTCATACTTTTTACGACTTGCCTACAAACAGTCGTATTTACCCTGACCTCTTGACAGAATGTCTGGGTTCACTGTTTTGTATTCAGCCACTCAAGGCGAATGTGGTAAAGGAACTTCAGTTCCTCATGACAAACGAGATATTCGGCTGAGTTCCAGGCGAGTCTCTAACAATACCAGATTTGTTTGTATTTGAGTGTGTTTCGCTAACTTCAGTTCCTCTTTTCTTGTAGATTCGTCACACATAGGACGTTTTCACACTCTGGTGCGACTTAATCTCTGTGTACCCAGTACTCTAAATAAAGCACTTCAAACAAGGTCACTTCAGATCAGAACCTGAGTCTTCCGGCGTGGCTTATTCGTCAAACATAAGGAGATATAGTGCTATACCACTATGCACTATACTACACACCATATATAACATGCACTAAGCTATACACTTCAACTACATTTGTGAATTTGTCTCAGTAAAAGGTTAGTCTGTTAACTGGGTGCGAATTGGTATCGGAGTCATCATAACTCAACGAGGGCTCAAAGGCTTGTATTCTATGCAAAGAATCCTTATCTGAAGCCGTGTATCGCAACAGCAATCATAATCAGACAACGGAATGCCTGCTGATCAGGTGACCCTTTAGAAAGTGCCGCATCTTGACTAATCCCTTCAAGCCTCGGACGAGCGCTGGCCTTTTAAGCAGAACATCCTATCCGCTCTCTTTTGGCTGTTCCTGCCAGAAGAATCCTGGCCGGACTCTCAAAGAGACATTGGCACACTGAAACTCTTCGTTTTACTACGAAATCCAGTGCACAAGGTTTGAATTCATCCATTTATGATTATTCATATAACGTGGTATTTTCTCGGGCCCGGCGAAATGAAAATAGTTGTTGATCATCCCCGGTACCACCCCACTAACAAATATTTGGCGCATGGAGTTGACAAATATTCATTCGTTCTTCGTATACCTCTGTATCAATTTAGGTGTCATCTGAGAAGCAGACAAGGTGTGTTCCAATGCCCTATGAGTCATACAAGTGCAGTATTTATCTATCGTGAGTTATTATATTCTGGTTACGAAACATATCGCCCCTCTAAAATGGACTGTTGTGATGGATACTACTGATGAAGCATGCGAATAGTATGTGGTTTCTCGTAATTCCACCTTGGTCTAATGAAATGTGGGGTTCATTACGGGATTTGTGGAATTGCTTTGTGGCATTGAGTGATAACCAATGAATATCCAGGAAAGTTCAAGAAAAAGACCGATATTCAGTTTTAACAAACAAGGTACATATGAGAGTTTTGCCTTCCTGTCCAATAGTCTTTAACTGCTCAGTTGGTGTTTTCCAAAAGAAAACAGCTCCGCAGCGAAGGAGGGATTCTGTCCTTCACTGGTGGTAGATTTTGCGAATAACAACGACTGCATATCCAAGTTTCTATGCCACTATGCCTTTCATGCTCTCAAGGCAGACAGGCAGGCATAAAGTTGCGAGTCCCCGACGGTTAGCGTGGGAAGCAGGGTTCCATTACACCAACAACACCATTTTCTGCCGACATCTGCAAACCTTTTCGGTGAGTTATTGGGAAGGCATTTTATTGCAGTAGGTGAAATTGGCGGGTGAACCAAAGGAATCACTGAACACTTGTAGTTTTGTAACCGCGGTAAATATGAATTCAGCAAGAACAACCCCCCTCATGATTACACACTTAATTTTTTATAAAATTTGTATGACTAAATTGTTTGAAATGATTTAGCTCAGTTATCCGGTTCGTTAGGTCTTCCGATTGGCTGGAAAGTCAGGTGTATGGAGAGGCGAAATGCGCTTGTCTGCAGATTCATCATCAGACATTTTAGGGTGGGGCAAAGTATCGTTGTAAGGAACATGTGCTCGTTTTCTCACATCCAAGTCAGTTGGGGAAGACGAAATCAGGTAAGAGTGCGCAATAATAAGTTTACACTTTCGCAAATATAGCTCATTGTTGTGTACAAATCTAGTCCGTGGTTCGAACCCGACCTCTACCTCTCGACTTCCCATGTCTAGGCTTGGGCAACCTAGCAGTATCCCAGCCCTCGTGCCTTCTTTGTGTGGCTTGGCAGCTAGGCACCAAAAAGGTGCTACGGTTGGACCATTTTGCCATCTACAGTACCTCCCCAGTAACCACGGTTGGTCGTTCATTCGGACTCCGTAGCAACCCTCCCCCGAAGTAAAGAAGTAGTGTCAACTTGCACCCAGAAAAAGACCAAGTGTACGTTTCCACACTTTCTTTCTCTGGGGAGAGAATACCCGAAGTTTCTTAGTTTTACTTCTCGAGGACACCTCGTCAGCTTAAAAGCCCAACTGATCAATTCAGAATAGTAATTTGTTTACCATATCGCACAGATTTTTCTTGTTGGATGCATTGTCCTGCAAACCATCAAAAGTTATCACTGAAGGTTATCACCTGAGGCCATAAAAAGACGTAACTTTGTTTGCTTTCTAGATTTGTCTGAGACAAAACACGAATCTTTATGCCACTATTTGCCGCTTGAGCAAGGTAGCATTTTCAGAAATTCATGCTAACGAAATCATGGACAACTGGAATGGTCGTTAGTTATCGAAAACGCTCCAGTTTGCATAGCTATCCGGTTAGTTTGGATCCATCATTACTTTTGAGTATCATTAGTCTTTTAATACTGACATATAACTTTTAACTGACATATAAGTTCGCCTATCCTGTCCACAAGTTGTGATACGCAAGGATGTCCAGGGTGCGTGCTTTTTTCACCCGTGCTGACAGGCTAGAATTTTCTTCCTTTTGACTGTAAAAACGATGTCATCCCTGAATGGGATTCGTGCCTCGCTGAATAGATGCAACAGTGTGTTATATTTCCTGATAGTGTAATGCTCAGTCCTTCAGGGGTGGGCGGAAATTGAATTCGACTCTGGTCCACAACTGGTCTACAACACTAGTCTACGACTCGTGCGTTGTCACATTATATGTACTACGTGATAACCCATTATGAGTAGTGTGTTTTCTGTGTTCTATGTATTTTACGGGATCCGATCAATTTTTTACATCATCTAGTCTCCCGTACGGGAGAATGTCTCCTGGTGTAGGCACAGTATTGGACGGAAGGCGGAGTGTCCCGCAAGCCATACATTCTACCTTGTTATTTATAATTGAAATTCTAATAAAACCTCTTTTGCAATTGTTCATACTAACATCGCTCTCGTTTGAACAGTCGTCCACCAGTAATTAACCAACACTCTGAACCACTGCTGGATTCCCATAGTTCCCTAATAGGTGGGTCATC